AACGAGTTCGACCATATGATAGACTTAGGAATCATACGACCGTCAAGTAGCCCATATGCATCTCCGTTGCACATGGTCCCTAAAAAGGACAGCAACGATTGGCGTCCAACTGGCGACTATCGGCGATTGAACGCGAAAACCATTCCCGATCGTCACCCGTTTCCTCATATTCACGATTTGACAGCTACCTTGAAAGGTACAACTGTCTTTTCGAAAATCGACTTGGTTAAAGCGCGTAACCAAATCCCTATGGCTACTGACGACATACCGAAAACAGCTATCATAACTCCCTTCGGACTCTATGAATTTTTGTGAATGCCTTTTGGTCTAAGAAACGCTGCTCAAACATTCCAAAGATTCATAGACTTTGCTTATAAACTAAAAAATAATAATTTTTTGTGGAACATTCTGAATGATATTCGAAGTCTACGTAACCTACTCATGTGACATTCAATGAAAAGACCTGATTAAATCAATGATTTGTAATTTTATTTACCGTAATAAACATTTCTATGTGTAACGTATGTTTGTTTTTAATTCTAGTGATCGATCGGTTAACGTTATGTTTCTATAGCACTGCATAATTTTAAAACATAATGTAGAATCGCAGTAAACATTGTAGGTATGTATTCTCGCCTGGTTTCTCAGTGATTTCCGTTGCAGTAGTGAGAGAACTACTATTACGTTAAAACTAGTTTGCAAAAGTGTTATAAGATTATGGTGATATTTTGTGGAAAAGCGCGAAATTCAGAGGAAATTTTGTATAGAAACCAGAAGGTCAGAGGAAATTTTGGGGATAAGCCCACTTCCCCTAAATGTTATAATCCAATTGCAACTATTATCATGACTTGCCTCAGTCTCAGTCACGATCGAGTGAAGAAAGTCCCCGTTCGAGCAGACTTTTTTTCTCCAACATGAAAAGCAACGAAATACAATCTCATCACGATAGTCTGCACACTGTACTGCAGTCTTTTGATTACCGCAGTCATAGGTACAGGTACTTCTTAGTAGTCTCATCTCTTGTAGCCGCTTAAGAATCACCTCTTCTCTAAAATCCTCTGTAAGCCGATCGTATGTGAGCATCAGGTCTTGAACCTGGCTCCGTGACCTTGAAGTTCTTCAAACGCTTCTGATTGGCTTGTTCATAAATTAGAGTCTCGCTGAAAATGATTTTGAAAATGTGAAAGGACAACAATTTCTTCAAATATAATGTTGGTTTCATTCATCTGACAAATGCTAAACTGTCTTAATGAACTGTTCCTTCATATTTCACATAATTTCATTTACTAGTTTCATTTATGAACAAGTCAAGTAAACAATTATTTATTCATAAGTAATCTTAAGATAAAAATCCATTGATTACATTAGTATTGTTTATAAAACTGTTATCACAGCCTAAAAATGAAAAATAAACATTCAATCACGCTGTGGTTTGTGCTATTGATGTCAACAGATATAAGTAGTATGTGTCATCAATCGAAAGTGAAATGCTTGGCGGGAGAAGGTTAAGAGGATCGAAGAAAAGAGAATGAGAACAGAGAATCGTTGGTGTGGAAACGTAAGAACAAACAGGTCTGAGATGAATGATTGACATTTTGCAATTGAATAATTTATTGTATAATTATCAAATTTTACCAAGAAATTCTGGTTGTCTCTACTTGTGTTCTTGTTCATTACAACTCATATTTATATTACATATTCTTGAATATGTTAATGATAGGAATGTTTAAAGTATATATATATATATATATATATATATATATATATATATATATATATATATATATATATATATATATATAACAAAGAACTGATGGATCTATGAAAATGGGGAATTAATGAGGTATTTGGAAGAAAACCCTATATTGATTTGGCTTTTTATTCTATAGTGAGGGAACTGGTACTCCCTGGGTTATTTGATACTGTGGCGGCCAGTCAGCTTCACAGTCTAAGATGTAAATAGTGAGGTTTTCAAGCCGTGAGTGATTTCCCGTAACACTAAGATCCTTACAGTTAAACGATCACGGAGTAGCGGCCAATGTCATTTTCGTCTAGTCCTTTATTATTGATGTGATTCTGTAGATCATGTTGCTACGTTATCACTAGTTTAAGTGACATAACATTGTGTTGATAGCGATGATAGATATATTTTATGCGTTGTTCTGATTGTAATTTTCACATGTAAGACACGATAACGGTCATTGGACATTTACAAAAGGTCTTATACTGCTTATCATAAATACTGTGTCTATATGATTGTTACACAATAAAACAAGAGCGATTCGAAGCGACAACAGCATTTACTTAAAGTAATTTTTCTACTGGAAAAATCTTTAACAGTTTAGAAATGAAACTAGAAACCGATTTATTAAATTATGGGCTTTATAATTAATGTACAATCTAAAACTAGTTTACATCTCAGCACTAGAACAATCGTTCTTTACTAGTATGAGATTATTATGTCTTGAAATGTCCTAAATTAGCCTAACAGAATTCCGGATATAATTATCCTACGGCACGTCTACTATACTGTCTCTAGCCTAGCTTCTTAGATTTTACGAATGATACGTTAAGAGCAGGACAACTGACACTCCTATCTGTAGGTGTTTCTCTTTCCCCAGAGTTGAGTTCAAAAATAAGTCTTTGAATGAACTTCTTTTATTATTATTACTATTATTATTATTATTATTATATTTCAATCACATAGCTCAGCCAGCACAAACTCTATTCCAAACACACATTTTCAGAACGCATAACACACCAAATAAGCAATTATTGCTTTGAGCTTAATCATACCATACTTGCCAGCGAAGAAGCAAACAGTACATAATTAACAAGTAATAATTAAAGAATGTTAAATTGTATAGCAACAGTAAATAAGTTCACTGAAAGCTTACAATAAGGGCAATATAGGAATACAATACAGTCATCTACTAATTATACAATAGAAATAGAAATGATAATAATCTGGAAATAATTCCAAAAAGTTCTAACTTCTTCAACATTTATCCACTTATAACAGAAATTTCTCATTACTGCACATATGCGACACACACACATACAGACCACCTTTCCACTGTCTGAAATCAGTTCAGGCTAAAAGTGTGCTACATCAAATTCCAACATAAATGTCAACAGTGTTGTGCATAGTTACAACTGGAAAAAATGTTAAAATCTTGCATAATAATAAGAAGAATGAAGTCGGATTATTTATTTTAGAAATCAATAAGAACACTTTGAAAGAATCCCTTGTGGTATATGCTACTTATATTGATATAAGTAGTATATAATACGAGTCATGAATATAATGTCTGGCAGTAGAAGTTTGGGAAGATCTAGAAGGTAAAAACAGGAATAGAAAGCAATTGGTACTGAAATGCAGAAACAATGAAGCTTAAGACAATTAATGAACATTTTGCAAATTAAGTATTAAGTATGGTTTTTCTATTTTATCAAGTAACTCTGTAAAGTTATCGTAAATATAATTCGGTTGTCCTCACCTGTGTTCTTCTTCACTACACCTTTACATAAATGCGTGAATCCAATTAATTTAACTATAATGGATAAGGTGGAATAACCTGACCCATAGAAATTGCTTACTAGTAAATGACTTTTGTATTTATACTTAGTAAAAACACTACAATCGTCAATAATTATTTAGTTAATTAGTCAATTAATATGATTTGATATGTTTCGAAAAACATTGACTAATATAGTAATATATACAACTGAAAAGTATTCATTTAGAAGTCTACCTGAAGTTTGTGCTGATGATGTCGTTCAGAAGAACGATGAAAGCTCCATGAATAAACCATCCAACTCAGAGAACAAAACTTCATCGAAAGTATTCATTTTTTTACCTAGCTTATATTTTGACAAGATCAATATCACTGAAATACACTTGTGTTTATTGGTAATTTATGACTTTAAATAATCATTGCATAACACAATAAATCATAAAAAAACTTACTACATTCTGCATTAAACAAGCAACTTTCATTACGTCAACAGAAATAACAGGTTATTTATGTGGAAACAACTGGATAGGATTCCCAGGACAGAGTTCGATAGCGAATGCTGGTGGGAGGCCTATGCTCCTCCATGAGAGGTAACAGACGTAAGTTAGTAAATTATCTGTGATCATCATGCTTTGATTATTTTTTTCCAGGAAATTAGCTGGATGAAGCATCTTATAACTAAATGTTTATTTAAAATTTTTAAAAACTATACAAATTTACACTATTTCATCCTAAAGAAGTATTGTAGTGAATGAGAACACAGGTGGGGACAACCAACTATACTTGAAATCGAAATTAGTAAAATTTGAGAATTATACAATAAATTCTTCAATTGCAAAATGTCAATCAATCATCTCAGAGTTGATTGTTCCTTCATTTCTACACCAATGATTCTCTGTTCTCATTCTCTTCTTTTCGATCTTCTTAACCTTCTTCCGCCAAGCATTTCACTTTCGATTGATGATATATACTACTTATATCTGTTGACATCAGTAGCAGACACCGCAGTACCTGTAGAAATTACTTGCTCCATACAGAATCAAACCATTCATCTATAATATTTGAAATTGTTTGGACCGATGATTGTGATTTCAGGAATCACTAGGTTTCCGTATCCATAGGTTACATATATATATCCTCACACATCTGTAACCTATTTTTGTGTGACTATAAATATTGATTAATGCTTGACTAAAAGGGAGTTGGCTTACGAGACATCTCCACTGCACGTCGTTTCGCTTCACTCAGTTCCATTCGCTTCATATACAAAATATATGTATTCAAAAGTCCATTCTCGTTATTTGACTTATCCAAATCCGTTATTGACTAACGTATTTAAGTCGATGATTATATACAAGGATAGGCGATAACAAACATTCATACGATCAACTTGGAATCAGTTCCCAAGCCACTAAAGTGGAGAGCACGTCAACAAACATCGTCCAGTCTAAACGATGACAAAATAAAGAGCCCAATAAATAACAATGGGAAGATACAAGTAAAACAATACCAAGTCAATTAAGTCAAATAAAGTCATAGTTGATGGTTTATTTTATTTTTCTCTTTTAAATTAAACAAAATAAGTCGTTAAAACAAATGGTTGCTATGTGAAAATGAAAATGAATGGAAAAATACTCACGTATACATCATCATTGAGGTAGTTAGTTTATGAATAAAATAAGTTTTAATCAAACCCCAAATACAACATGAATAAAGCACATGAAGGAGAAAAGTAATAATGACAAAAGGTTAAAAGTTGTTATCATCTTTGTTTAAATCATAGTTGTACTTATCATTATTATTATTACTATTATTACTATTATTATGTATATGATATGAAGATATATATTGATTAGGTAAACATGTAATTGATTCATAGGATTCAAATGGTTCTTTTGCATATACATTGGCTACATGTTTATGTTGGTAATGAAGAAGATGACATTTTTCTTTTTCTCTATTTAACAATGGGAAAGATTGTCTAGTTTTAGTCTAAAATATAAACAAAATTTATAAGATAAAATATGAATGGAGATTGTAGAATTTTCATAGTTTAAATCACGAATTGATGGTTGCTAGACCATTATTGAAAGATGGAAGCACTGGATGGACGTTTCGTCCTAATATGTGATTCTTCTATATACTTTCTATACTGCTTCACACTACAATTCCTGGAATCCTAATAAGAAGCCGTGACTGGTGGAATTTAACCATGTCGGGTGTGTGACAATTACCCACTGAAGGCAACAGTTGAAGGTCGCAATTATTGTGAATTAGTTGCTGCTTGATATGTACATTATTGAATGCCGGCCTAGTAGTCTATATGTTAAAGTTCATGCCTGAAACCCAATGTCCTGAGTTTGATCCCCAGTCATGTAATCACATATTATCACCTCTAAGTTCCCCATACTACTAGAGACGAAATGGACCTAGAGTGCTTCCTGGTCACAATGAAGGTCTATTTAAGATCAGTTCAAGATATAGACTAAAAATATTTTTTTGTTTTGTTGAAGTGTTATTTTAGAAAAATATTGGGACCAGTAAACCTAATACTCTAAAGGGTTATGCAATTTCGTAACATATTGTAATGATTTGCGCCATACTACTGACTTACATTTTCCTATCGATACCAGAAACACCAAACAAAATCATATTTTCAAAAATTCAGCTATCATTTTAATGAAATGCATGATGTTAGTACACAATGTATACCGATAAGTGAACTGAAATTTACACTTATCATCTGTTTTTAAGTGATGAATTACTGTATATTGTATACTGTATATTCATCATTATGGTCCAAATTACGAACTGATCTTTGTTAAACCACCAGTGGAAAACTGGAAGCATTGGATGACCATCCGACCCATCATGGCACTCCCCAAGAGTGCACCCAAACTTCCTCATTCTTCCATTCCTGTTGCTACTCGAACTGCTCCTTCTTTTTTCCCTTCTCCTCATGTTCCCCTTTTGTCAGTGAGAATCCTACTTCCAATTGTTGATACATGCTATCTATATCTTTCCGTATAAGTAACACACACCAGAATCAATGAACGGAATCTGTTTAGTACTCCCAAACTTGATTGGAAACGTTCTTCTGATTCCTAGATGCTGTTTGTGGTTTTAAGAAATCTTTACAACAAATCGCATAGATCTAATCACTCCCACCTGGTTTATTTTTGGTCATACTAAGTTCGTTGTTAGAGAAATTAAAAGCGTGGCTTGAAATTAACTGCATATTTATGGATATAACATGTCCCTCTGTCCTACTCTATGAGTGTGAAACATGACAGGAGATATTCCTAGCTTACCGGTAATCGAAGCATCACTCGTGCATTTCGATATCGCCGAGTAAGTAATAACTTAGTTTGGGATAGAATACTAGGTAAAATAGCAAATTGATTGATAAGCTAGGAAATCTTTATCAGCTAAGGTGGTTGGGATATGCGTTCGTATGCCCAACCACCGCTTATCTCAACGAGCAATGTTGTATGGCGTAGGAGTAGGTTGAAAGAAAGCTAGGGGCGGTCAATCAAAACATGTCACCAGTCCACAATTAAACTGGCTCATGTTAATAGATTGAAGTTTGTGTGATTGTCGTGACCAATGGTGACAGACCCTAAACAACATGGCTCAAAATTTCTCACAGTAGCGTTGGTAAATCCACTCTTTGTCTTCTCCTGGCTGCTATATTTCTAAAGTCCCCATAATTTTTTATTTAACTAATTTATATTACCTTCTTGAGTTGTATAGTCAATTACTAATCTTTCCTATCAACACTAATACTGTTGTTGCCTCTACTATTGCAGGATTTGCCTTAATAATTTCACATTGCCATATCTACATTGTATAACAAGTTGAAACTATGTGTACACGTATCAGGTTCTGCCCTGTATTTGAATAGCTTGACTGACTGGTTGGTATGAATACATTAATATTGTATTCGCCATCATGAAGTTTTATTGATTTCGAAAATCAAATTATTCATTGATTTGAGACCATAGAACTAATAAACAAGCTTCGGGCATATCTGCAGCATTTTTAATGTTCAGTGTATTGTATTCAGCACTTTGGGTTATTTATCAGTTCATTTAATGAGTAAGTGCTGCATATTAGAGGATAAATTTAACTAAAGACTTTATTTCAAGTACCATACTTTATTTTCTTTTCATCAGGTATGTTCGCTTACATTACACTGACAAGTTCAAAGTAGACAACCGCTGATAAGTCTAGAAGCCTTTAGTAAAAACTACACTATAATATGCAGTTTTCACCCACTAAATGAACATGAAAACATTCGAAAATGCTGTAGATAATTTTAGTCGGACACAGGTGACCAAGATTAAAATGAATCATCAGATATACCTTTAAAATAAAAACAAACAATTGTCACTATCAGATAAAACATACACTTTCCACTAAATGATTAGAACAAAAAGACAGTCTAAAATATTATTCACCACAAAAAATTATTATGTGAAGGCATCGATTGGCAAAGCAAAGGCAGCATTCCTACAACTGAAGCATATTTACAATTCGAAATCAAAGTCAGAATCTCCAATACGAACATCAAGACAATTCTACCGTGCGGAGCTGAAACTTAGAGAACTAATACAATCATCATCGAAAAATACAAGTATTCATAAGCATTTATCTAAACAAGATACTCGATGTCCGTTGACCGGAGACCATCAGTAACAACCTACTTTGACAGAGAACGAACCATTTCTAAAACTTCTCAAAATTCCTAACTTAAAGTTGTATTCGATCAATTAACATTGATTAATATTTACAATTTCATCAGCGAATAGATTACCCGATTGTAAGCATGAAGAAAAATGAGTTCAAAAATGTTTTTTCGTAACCATGTCAACACATGTTCATGAGCGCGTACGGATAAGCACGTTTGATAACGGTCAACGTAACTAGCGTCAAAGGAACAATTACATCAACAAACATACATAGATAACTCCATGATTGGTATACTATTCTTAACTTTTCTTCCCTCAATATTGGCTTCGTTAAATCATCACTCTCATACAACTTACAGGCTTTCTGTGTCTCTAGTCATGAGAATTAATATTAGTAATACATAAGTGTATATTAATTCATTTGTGTTTCACACTAACCTAGTACTCAAAACTTATACAAACACTTTAAACCTTCTTATCAGTTTTCAGACTTCATATAATGACTGCCTCATCTCCTCAATACTTTTGAATTTTATTTTTAAACGACCCTAAACATATAGTTATTATTAGATCGTGGATGCTCATTGCTGAAGAGTCCCATACTAGGATGAAACTGCCGTTCAGTGCTTCTAGGTTTTCCATGGTGGTCTAGCTTCAATTGACTCATGATTTCAACTATTGATATAGTTATTACTGCTAATCGTTATTATTTCAATTCTTTTCATCATCAATCTTTACTACTTCATATTACATCATACTCCAGACGTTGCACTTTATTACGACATACGGTTGTAAGCATCTGAAGAGAAAATACGAAATACAATTAGTTTAAATTATTCCGCCTTAACTGTTGTTTTTGACTTGTTTTTCAAATACATAATCATCGTATTTCACGTGGATAAACTCAAGCCCCATCTATTTTAATTTCAACAAGTAAGTACACATACAATTCACCTCAAAGCTGAGTATATATAAGTCAGTAATTAATTGTATAAGTAACATATAAATGGTAAAAGGTGGGTTAATAAAGTTTATATTAAGTGATTTACACTTCAATTAGTCATTTAATCATAAATGATTCAATACAAATCAATCTATATGTTTGTATGTTAGTAGTTAAATTCATGAGTCAATTAAAGCTAAATCACCATGGGAAACCTAGAAGTACTGGGCGTCCGTTTCATCTTAATACGGGACTCCTCAGCAGTAGCCATTCACGATCTCGCTCCGCGAGATTCAAACCCAGGACCTATCGGTATCATACGCGAAAGCTTAACCTCTAGACCATTGAGCCTGCATCCATGATGGTCTAACTTCAATTGACTCATAAATTCAACTATTTAATTACTATAATATCCACAAAAACCCCTCTCTGATTATATATTTTTATGTTGGGTAATTTGCATTATACTAATAGGAAGTTGAGAACTGATTGATTTATTGTGTTTTAAATATCCGTTACAACATGAACTATTGTGTAACTTGACTATAGGAACTAAATTGAATTATCTATTTAATAATAAAGAAAACAGGAATAGTTTACGCTTAACTTGATACAACATTTAATAACATACACATCAACAATAACAACAACGACAAAATTTAAAAACAGACATTAACTAGTTACATGAATTCAATACATCCACCAAACCATCCACCATATCAGGGAAAAATGAAATGCATTTAAAAATGTTTTTGATAAAGTTTTATTCTCTGAATTGGATGGTCTAGTTGTGGAGCTTTCATTGTTCATCTGAACGACATCATCAGCATAAATCTCAAGTAGAAATCTTCTACGATCAAACCATCCAACTCAGAGAACAAAACTTTTTGATTGGAATCATGAACCGATTGATGTTGGACCACCATTGAAAACCTGGAAGCAATCTGTTCTTTTACAAACACCATGACATATTGACTTCAATAGTTTTATTCAATCAAATTTATATTTAAGAGTCTAGAGGAGATACGGTTTATGGAAAAGGTATAATTTGATAGTTTGCATTAAAAATTGATTTTGATTATACAATCACTAAAATCTAGAAAGCATAGTATATTCATTTTTATCTTAGTATAGGAACCTTCAACAGTATCCGTCCATGACTGTATCAGAGATTGAGCCCAAAAACTTACGGTTTTATTATTGCCAGTATATAATTTTTATACCACTTAGTTGAGAATGAAATTATTCATAATTATATGTCTAGTTGTAACTAATTTGGATAGGTGATTCCACAGCTCCAGTAAAAAGCCATATTCAATGGCATTCACTCATTTTTTACGTCATCACGGAGTAGTGGA